CAGGTTTTAGGCACCCCGAAGCACTACCATGCGCCATATCAATGTTTCTAAGCGGTATTTCCTTCTCGGTGTGTCCCCCCGCCCGTTCCACCTCCCGTCTTTCGGTGTCCCGAATAAAATTAGAGACACGCCGATTGTCGATCGTACTCTTTACCTCCCCCTCTTGTCCACCTTCGCGTCCTTTTTCGCGCGATCTCCACTCTCCCCCCCTCCCTCCTTTACCCGTTATTCCCCACCTTTGCCCACCTCGTTATTGTACATCTGAGCCGGAAGGGTCTCTAAGCTCTGTCTTCCCATCGCTGCGTGAAAAGACAAATTAGATGTAATAAGATTTGTTGACTGTATACATTATTATAATGCATCGATCACACGCGCATCACCAGCATAACACACGCACACACATATTGTACACGCGACATGCAGTTCAACAGACGGCGGGGAACGCGAGACGACGGCCGCGCTGCGTCGGGACAGTCCACGCTGGATCGCCAATGCCTGAGATTGCGATTACGCCCGCGATCGATCGGTGAGTCACTGTAACGTTATCGTTTATCTTGTATTTTACCATTTTTTATACATCGACACGCAGTTTTTTCTTTATCGTGGAACGATCTTTGGCCCTTTTTGTCATTGTCACGAATACGTGTTTCACATGCGAGTGATTTTTCACGGGATAACGAAGTTTACACTGTAAAATTCAAAAAGCTATTAATACCATAGAAATTGATAAATTCTATATACGAAAGCGTCAAATTGCATCGCTGTGATTATCCATTGAATTTACAATTTTAAAACTAACTCTTTTTTTATTCACCCACCTCGTTCAATTGGCATTCGTATTGCAGTGCTCGAAGAAGCACCCGTAGAAATTAGCGCGACGAGAGAGAGACTTAGATTAAACAAGTTTGCGAACTCCTATTTCCGAGAAGCTTGCGCTTAATTAATTCCATTAATTAGATCCGACATTGAAAGGCGATCGCGAGAGCCGGACGAGGTGAACCGTGCTAGGCGTAAATTCGCGTGGCGTGTTGGTTCTATCGGGCTCAGATCCCGATCTACTTGGCCATTCGCTACGCATCGCGCTCGGTGCGGGCCGTAATACCGTGCCCGGCCATGTCAATCAACCATTGACCATCCATAATAGCCTGTTCTGTCGCAGCGCGCTGTTAGACACGTCGTAAGCCACGTCACGGGGAAACGATCTATTCACACCCAAAGTGACACACACACACACGACGGAAAAGTACAATAACGTGCAATAATAGCGCCCTGATGGGTCTGCTCTTATCACGCATTCGAATATCTTCCCTTCCCTCAAAAGGGTGCTCCCGCCGCATAAATGTATTATGAAAAAAAGTAGAGCCTGGACTTTCATCTTCAATCCCTTCCTTTGTCGGTTGCTGTACATATACGCATCCAGATGTGAGGAATTTTGTGGCGAGAAAAACGTGTGGGACCTCTGTATATATTATATATCATCTTATTATTGATATGTGATACGCTATATATGTAAAAAAAATCTAATATCTAAGGAATAAGGATTACTTTAGGTCGAATCTTAAATCTCATTCGGACATTGCGCAACCATTGAGAAAAAAAGCAAAAAAAAAAGACAAAAAAAAAATAGAATGAGGGAAACTTCGAAATGCGTCACGGAGCATGCCGCATCGGGCAGTATTCACGGCACTCGCTTGTACGCAGATCGAGAGACACGTATACACCCAGACACGTAGACACGCTCCAAAATGTGGTTACTTCTAAAGACGAAAACTTAAAAAAAAAAAAATAACGATGTAATGTGTATATTAATACTTGTATGTCGTACGCTCTAATGTTGTTTGAAGAGTTATTTGCGAGTCAATTATCTGTGCCTAGCAGCCCTGTGCACCCTATCAAATGTACCACCGTTCAGATGAAAGAAACCAAAACGAAAGAATACTGAACGAACGAAAAGTGGAAGGCAAAAAAAAGCAAAGACGAATTTTCAGGCAACACAGAGAGAGTGAGAGAGAGAGAGAGAGAGAGAGAGAGAGAGAGAGAGAGAGAGATACAATAAAAGAGAGAAAGAAATACAGAAAAGAGATGTGTATAGTATCGAGCAGAACACGACACGACACGTGCGTTTCTCACAAATTGCACCCTGTATACATAGTTCGCACAATGATCTGTTCCTATTTTGGAATCAGTTTTTTCGGATTTGCCAAGAATGTATATCTACAGATTCTATATGAGAATATATATAGAAAAAAAAAAAAGAAACTGGACATGAAATATAAAGTATTGAAATCTAGTTCTGGAATTGTTAACCCTTTCGTCCGGATCCAAGCGTAATTTTCCGGTTTGCGAGGGGGGGAGGAAGCGAGATCAGTTGCACCCCCCGGGAGCTCGATCCTCCTCCCCCTTTAAGCAGCCTGAAATAGCTTTTGTTCTTTTTCGCGATCGGTGAGTGAACGTGGATGTGCGATCTCTGCTCATGTTTGCGCATCGAGAAAGCTATTAGTGATAGCTCCACTAGAATGGTTGTTACTTTTTGTGGGAGAGAGGGAGAGAATGAGAGCGGAAATGCGTGAAACGCGCATAGTGAGGATGATAACCGCTTCCTGTAATTGGATAGGGGAGTGAATCGGGTTAAAATCAAATAATTTTGTTTCGTTCGATAAGTTTGAATACACTTGAAAAATCGTCAGAACACTATTCTGTTTCTCTTTCCTCATTTTTATCAATAAAAATATTTTTATCCAAGAATGTATAAGATTCTAAAGTTAAGGCATGTTATAAAAATTTGATATTGCAGGAAAGTATCGATACGCTATCTTTATTTTCCAATTTTTAATGAGATTTACATACCTCGCCTTTTTACCTAGTTTTAATTTTAATCCGATTTATCTATCTGACTGGTGTGTCCGCTATTTCACGAGACATTACAAAACTATATAACTCACCTTCATGTAGCGAATACACATCTCGGGAAAGTGAAGAGAAATGGCCGGACGATTCAGCGGAATTAGTAGTAAAAGTATAGGCGGAAAAAAAGAGGTACGTCGACGCAACAAAAAATACGCGCGAGGCAAGCGAATATCATCTTTTGGCGAGCGCTTGCCACCGATAGGAAAAACAAAAGGGAAAAAAGAGAAAAACAAACGAAAACACCGAACATTCGAAATCGCATGTACACGAGCTTGCGACTCAAAACTCTGCTCGCAACAAGAATTATATAGATATAGATATATTACACATATTATACCGTCACACACTGAACACAACAGCACAACCACAACTACCACCACTACCACGACCCACGCACATCCATATTTATATATAAATATATATACATCTATATTATATAAACGTATAATTACATTTACGAATACGAGAGAAAGGAGAAAAGAAAACTCACTCACTCTTATGCGACTACTTTACACCGGTGTACACGTTATAGGAGTATGTGGGACGCCTGTATGTGTGTCTAGAGACACAAGAAGCTCTATCATCCGCTTCAAGTTCTCCGTTCGCGAGTAACACGCTAAACGATCACGCTGCTTCTCGCCATTTCGCGGATTAATTATCCAATTATCCGCGATCACTCGCGTGACCCATTTATCGCCTTTGCACCGCGTATTGCTTTCCGACGATTATAACGGCGCGATCTTTCATCCTTCGATAATGCACTCGCGTAAATTGTTTCGTTAAATAATAAGCTATTTGTGAATTTGCCGCTTTATGAACATTCAACAATAACGCTGTGTTTGCCAGTTTGATTCGGTATAATTCAGTGTAATTCTCACTGTGCATTTAGCGTTAAACGCTCGATGCGCGGTGAGAGAACGCGCGTTAAAATCTCTAAAGGCGCTTAAGGACACTTTGGCACACCTGTTCGTGCTTAACGGGTCGATTCGAGAAATTTTTATCAGTTCATGATTGACGTGATTTGCAATATGCGCTACGTAGGATGAAAGGCAAACTCCTGAAACAAGTTTCTGGAATATTGCATGAAAATTGTAGCGGAGATGCATTTTCGAGCAGTCGACAGAGGCGAAGCAGCGAGCGTGAATCGGTGACATTAATCCCAGAAATACCAAGCTTTCTCCTCTTGCATGCATTATACTTCTTCTCGTGATTATTGTGGAGCGAAGTGTCTTTATGTTTGCCGTTATTTTTAAAAAGTGCGGCCGTAAGAATTAAAATGTCAAGCAATACCGCGCGAAAGTTTTAAGGAGACGTGAACTTTTTTTATTCGCACTGTCTTTCGGAATCTTTGTACGAGCTTGGTATTTCTAGAATTAGTAAAGGCGACAGATTTACAGGAGGTCACAGTTAGGGAAAATAAATAAAAGGGAGAAAAAAAAAAAAAGAAAACGATATACACACTCATCGAGCGCCGCTAGTAAAAGACATGGTAGGCTATTATTAGCGCTAAATAGTCGCTAGCCGATAGTGATGTAGTTTATCCTTTAGAGTTATTTTAAGTTCTTAATTATACGAGAGAAAAAAAAAAGATGGTTGAACTGACTACTATCGTATCACATTACACACTGTAACACGTCGATTATAATGACAAGAAATATTTACCTGTGCATATTGACATATTATGGAGTCACATCATTAAAACATATACTACTCAATATATCCAGCGTCAGCGACTCGATTCATTGACACCCACACCATATACCATGCATAATGTTGATAACTCGGAAGTTGGGCAACCAATCTCAGAGCCAAAGACTCGGCTTGGCCTTTCATGTCTCTCTCGTAATTATACAGTATAATTAGGCAATCACGATTAGCATAAAGTAATCGCGGTGTAATCAACTTTTAACACTGGATTATCAAATCAAGGAATATTTAACAAAGTTATTATTTTATATAATATATATGTATAAGACATTCACGAATATTTCGGAGATTTTTATCAATCTAGGATCGAGTTTTCCTAGGAAATTTTAATTAAACTGTCTTCCCTTTTTTATAATATTTAATATCACACCAAGATTTTTCTTTGTAGGCTTCTAATTTAAAAAAATTTTTTTTATATGTTTACTAAACATTCGCCAAATGTCGGAACAAAATTCTGCGAAAGCGAGTTCCGCTTAAAATTAAACGTGCAATAAAATTAATGGCGGTTGCGTTAATTCCGAGATATCAGTAAAGTAGGTGAATAGGCTCGGCGGGTGAATCGCATTAAAATTTAGAAAACTCGCTCACTCAACTCCGCCAAACTTTCTTCACTAAACTCTGTCGTCAAACGATCGTCTCACTCATCTACTCTATTTCCGCAATGCGAGTTTTAAATTTTAATTCGTCTCACTCTCCAATCCCATTCATCCGCCCCAACTATACTATATACCTACTCAGAGATACATTTTATTGCGATTGTACAGTCACGGTCGTTGCGACCAAACAGCGATCGTTCGCCAGGAAGGTCAGCAACGGATCTGTGTGATGTGCAGGGTGATATATAATTACACCTTGCATTCTTAAAAAAAAAACTAACTCGCATATATAGCGTATCGTACTTGTTTATCTTATTTCATCGTAAATTATACGTTCTCGCGTGTGTACATCATTTCGTGCTCAGAAAAATCAGTACACGCTTTAACATATTTTATTTGTACATCGTTAACATTATACGATCTTGTGTTTTACGAGCGCGCGTAACGTTACAGCGCAATTAAATTTAATAGGATTTAATGGCAATTTAATTTTCAACAATTCCACATACATGTATCTTTTTGTTTTACTACGAGCCGGGATTTTTTGCGATCATTTTTTATAATTAATTCGCAGCGGTGAAAATTTCCACACAACTTATACTCCATGATATAATACCTGATATATAAATTAATTTTTCACCGGCTGTTATTTCAATTAAAATAATGTATTTTTTATTATTGGTTAATTGTTTTACAAAATTTCGTGGAAAAAAATTGCGCGCTGTACACTTCATGAATATTCACATAAAACACAAACGCGATATAAACCGATTACAAGCGCGCGTAAATTCTCTCGCGATTCGAGATACGAATCTGAAATCCAACTCCGTGGTGACGAATTTTTCTTTTTTCCTTTTCTCACACTCGCACGACCGCGGCGGATTAATCAGCTGGTCCGATCGCGCGGTCCGATTTCCGCGGCGCGCGAAATAATAAAAGAAGCTATGCGATTAAAATCCAGGCAAAGTGCACCCTTGGGCACCGCAGGTATCTCCGCAAGGATTCATAAAACGACCGGGCGAAAGTTTATGCAACGTAGCCGCGATAAATTACGTCCGATAAAACGCGTGTATATCACTGCACGCCGCATAGTAGAGTGCGGGCACACATGTTCCTCCGGTTGCGATCGCCTCCGCACCATTTTTACGTACAATCGGCCACTAACGTAATCGCCGCGAATTCCCGCGTGCACTTGTGCGAGCGTGTTTGCGGATCGGTGTGTCAAAATATGGCGCGTAGGCGCGGATTTCGTGCGGCACGGTTTGAACACCGAGATGATAACAACGCGCGTCCATACCACCAACTCAAAAGTATATTTAACAACTGACACACTCGACAGACGTGAAACGTATGGCGTGTTTCGTCATGTCGAAAATTAATCGCCGCGTCAGAGAGAAAATATCGGGGAGAAAAAGCTTTTTGCCTAAAAGGGAAAATATTTTCAGCTTCTGGTGGTTGTACAAAAGACTAGATGATGAAATAACGCGGTTTTATGGCGTAATATAATCTATCACGCTCTTCTTTTTATTTTATTTTTTTTTTTTGTTGCATTCATACAAAACGTGTAGTCGTATATTTTTTATCACAATACATTTCGACAAGAGTATCATCGTATCGCAGAAAAAAGATTAATCTCGGACTAATAAAATAACTAACGAATTTATATGTAGAAAAAATTCGATTTGTTCACCGAATGACATACTTACGTACAGATCGATCGTGAGAGCTGCTGGACTTACACAGATCACATCTTCACATACGATATACGCATAATCAAATGCGCATGAAACAAACGCGCCGACCGGCGAAACGCTGTCGGCTTACGAGGCCTTCGACGAAAAGCAGAAATAACGAGATCTTGATAATAACCGCTTGAAATAGAGCTGCTTGGGCATGCGATCGATTTGCATGCTTAGGGGTAGTGGTTCCGCTAGATCCTTTATATTTCACGAGCATGCGCACGTTTCTAAACTTGAGCATCTTATAACGCCGTGATACGTTGAAAGACAGCGAACGACAGTGAATTTTGTCGGATAAATTTTTTTTCTGCGAACAAACTCTGTGCAGACGTTGTTCCACTTCTGCCGGGATATTAGTTTATATCGCGACGTCTATGTTGCAATGTAATGAAAAATGTAGACATCTAGCTTGTCGTTTACTGTCTGATGTCTTATCGCGGCGACGTTCTTTTTTCTATTATGATTATTCCGCGTAAAATGACACTTTGAAATCTTTTTCAATGAAAATGTGCATTGAAATCACACGTTTATTGAAGACGTGGAAAAAGATTATAAAGTTTTAATTTTTATTTATGTCTCCTTGATTTAAACGAGACATTAATTAGAAATGAGGAAAGATATGTATGAAAAGCAATCGCCATCTCGAACGGGAAGAAGAAGGGGCAGCACAAAAATTTCCAGAAGCAGAGATTGCATTACAAATTGATGTAAGTAATATATTTTCATATTTACAAGAATCGTAAGTATAAGTTTAATTGGATAGAGTCGAGAGTACTCGTACGTATGCGTGTGTTGCGCTTGTAAAAATATAAAGCGCGTTTTTTCAAAACGCACTTATCCCGTCGATAACGTTTTGAGGCCACGTCTTCGAGGATTGCGGTAATTCCTCCTCGAAGATCGATGTTAGCCATTATATATAAATCGAACGCCTATTCAACGGCGCTTTAATTCAATATCACGGCGCGATTACTATCGTCGCTAATGATCCGCTTTCCGTAAATTATCCTCATCGACGCAACGAGTACATTTTGAAAGAACGCTCGGCTAATTGTAAGATGCTTTCACTGAAAGCAATTAATCTTTAAGGACGTCTTCGGATTCTGGTAGGCCGCGAACTTCGCGCGCACAAGCGCCGGTTTTACAAAAATTGAACCTTTCGTCGACGAGAACGAAAGTTTTCACTGCGTAGAAAAATACAGGACGCTTGCAAAGTCTCAGTCTATTTTGTACAAATATTTATTTGAATTCTGCAAGGAGGAAATTTGAAGCAGAATTGCTGAAAGCGGTATTTTTACAGCAGAATTGTTGGAATTCTCGAAATTCTCTCTTTGAGACAAAAAGCTCCAATTTTCCTTTACAATTTTCTAAAATTACTTGCTTGAATAACGATAACCCTAATTTCAACAAAATAGGGCAGAGACTTTATAAATATCCTGCATAAGAATATCTCGGCGATGTCGCCTTTCGAGATATTCTTCATTGAATCTTGGCGCAATAACATGCTAAAATATATATGGAGAGACAATTTTTATACCAAAAGTTCTTAGCTTATAACGTATTTACAGATCCTATTAATAAATTCAATTTTTAAAAATCTCCTTTCTTCAAGAGATAGCGAGGAATGTCGCGAGGAAAAAGGAGAGTAAAATATTCGTCTCAATAAATCACGGCCTTTTTCAACTGTCCGTTTAGCAACTTTGTTTCGTGCTTAGCATGTTATTGTTCCAAGCTTTTTAATTAATCTTCACTTTCCATCGTGACTCAATTGCAACTGGGAAAAAAGTTTTCGTCGGCTTACAAATATTTAGATATCGTTTTCACAAATATATAACTGTTTGTACAAGATATTCGGATCGCGCCAGTACAATGCAATGTTTTTTTTCTCGTACAGACGATATTTTGCAATTCGATTGATATCACGCGGAGCGCAAAGACTTGCCGAACGAGATACAAAAAATTTATATAGAATCGGAGAATAATTGTGCTCTCCTCTTCGTTAAGAATACATCATCGTGCTCTTTCCATCTCTCGTAAGGCTTGACTCGGCACGCCGGGAGGCATGGTAGCTGGTTCGCCTCCTCTAGCTTCAGGATCATTGTTGGCGGCTTCCGAAGCTCTAAACCGCTTGTACTTCCCTGCAATTTGGTACGCTTTATATATCGTGCTGTACGTTAGAGCTTGAGAATTTTAGAGAGAATTACAAAGTGTGTAGATTAATAATATATTTTTTAAGAATAGTTTATATAGTCAATTTTAAATTGATTTAATCAATCATTGAAAGCTCAGAATAATATGAAAGATAGATTATTATTTTTATTTTAAATAATTTACCAAGTGAATTAACTACCAATACTTTTTTCTAAATAGTTGGTAATTTGAAAATTAAGCGATAGTTTTATCGCATTAAAATTAGAAGGCTTACTAGCTAAGCGGACCATGTTGACGCCCCACCAAATGCTCCAACCCCATCCGACGAGACAAAACAGAACGGTAAACAATTGGCCCACGCCGACAACAAGATTAACAATAAGTGCACCAAGTCGTGATTTCATTCCGGCAACGGCAGAAAATCTCGGTTGTCCAGTGCACAGATTGAACAGGCCGCTCCAAACAGTTCCTAAACGAATTCGATTAAATATTTAAAAAATACTGATATTAATGTTAGGATATTGCAATAAATTATATAAAAAAATTGAGAATAGCTTTCTTTTACGAGAAAATAGTGATTGAATCGTACCGGTGCCCGGTAGTAGGACATTCCACATTAGGCAGAACCAGGCGAGAGGAACCGGCAAGCAAGGAATAGCGCCGCGCATGACGGAATTGTGCTCCACTAGGACGTCCGGTAGCTTAGACTTCGGTTCCTGCGATATTGAGTTTTCGTGTTAGAAGTAACAAATGACGTGGCGCAATTTTAGAGCATTATACATCTCTGTCAGGCAGACCAAAAACTCCACTTTGTTGCACATCCAATATTCAAAGCACTTGCATTTAAAATAATGGTTTACTCAGTTTGGAACTTGGCTATTTATTTCTTTCACGTGGGTTTTTTATGCTTGCACTTTGAGAAACATAGAATGTATAAAAAAGATAGTAATATCAAATTAAGTTGCTATTTTTTTTACGAATAAATGATAGACACAAAGTAGTGTTTTGGTTTGCTTTATAAAGTGCATAATAGTCGATTGCTTTGATGATTGCATATACGTACTTCCGATAAAGGCGGCGGAGCTACACTCGTAAGACTGTGCTTGGCACGTGTATTTCTTGTGCGTTGTTGCGTGTCCGCGTTGCGTTTACATTTACAACAGCCGAACACGCGACGGCAGATCGCACCGCATCTCCTCTCCGGCGGGCAGCAAACGGTAGGCTCGGCAGGAGCGACTCTCGATTTTCTTGTACAACACTTGATCTCTCGCAATCGGCCGCATCTGTTAAAAAAAAAATGTTACGTAATTTGTAATTTCTTGGTCATTTTTAAGATTTGCATATAAAAAAATTCTCAAATCAAATAACGCAAAAGCTGAAAAGGCGTCAAAAAGATTCTGAAATAATTTTCGGAAAATCGGAATTAAAAATTTGAAATAGATTAATTTGAATAGATGTAGCAGCAAAGTAGAAGTAGTAGGATAATATTATTAGGGTAGAAAGTTTGCAAAAAAACTCGAGTTCGAGAAATAAGTTTTACGACTCACTAAGCAAAGATAACAAGTTACAAAGTAATCGACGAGATGATTAAAACTCGTTACGATAAAGCACATTCATGGTGCTTTCACAGAAAATTTCATAGTTCTTTTTCTATGATTAAACATTGTAAATTATTATTATATTCTTATGTTATATTGTCTTTAAATTTTTCGTTCTATTAACAAAATATTGCTTTTTTTTTAGGTAAAGCAAATATTGCTTTTTTAATGGTAAAGCAAATATAATAGCTGCTTGATAAAACACGAAGAAAACGGGAGGAGATAAAACTTTACAAAATTTATAATTGCATGAAATTCAACGATACGATATTCTACCTGCATCGAGTCTTCAATTTCGACCACCAAGACGCATTTGTCGTTGGTGGCGGTGCATCGAGTGCAGTCGCTGCAACAGGCGGCGGGGTGTCATTGATCACCATCGCCCTCCCTTTATTCTTGGTCCACAGAAGACCCTTGGGGTCTCTGCGGCAAGCCAGGCATCTCATGCTGGAGCAGCACTTGCAGTATCGACTCAAGGACCTTCCCCAACGCGCCAGCAATTTTTCACTATCGTGTTGCTTCTCGTTGCTAGAAGCCAGGACCCTGCGATAGAAAACAGGATCAAGATTTTTATTTTTGAGGTATAATTTGTAAAATTATACATAGATTTCTATGATTAATTAACTTATATATTACATGTTCATCTATTAATTATCTATAAAATATTTTAAAAAATAGTAAGTTTTGATAGCATTATGCAAAAATACATAATTATTATACCTATAATTATGTACTTTTTGAATATATTTATTTATTCGAACGAGTTTTATATAAAATAAGAGAGCAATTAAAAATTTGTATCAATTTTTTGCGTAATTCGCCTTTTGTATCACAAATTTGCAGTTATTTAATCCTAAAAGATTATTATCGATTTTGAATTAGCTGCATAGACCATTAGCACCTATATACATCAATATATATATATGTATGAGTCATGCGTAAAATGTATAGTAATATCAGAAAGTATTGATTAACTGTGTAAGGGCACACGAATTTACTCAAAGCACATAAGATTTGGAATTATTTTAAAGCGTAAATTTTACGTCAAAGTATAAATCGTATTTACGTTATTACAATAATAAGAATTTTTTTTTTTCTTTATGCGATTTAATTGTCTGTTTGAGAGCGTTTTTAAAATTGAATAAATAGGCGATGACAGCAGACAGACTCTGTGCATAAATGCGCATTCAAAAGTGCATGCGTTTATTCTATATTAATTATCGCAACGTAGAGTATGTTTCGTGACTCTTCTCACCCACCCGCCCACGAAAAAGGGAAGATCCGCGCACACGAAGCTAATCACAGCGCGAAGCTCGCACGCATACCATTGCGGTGCAGCCCCGAAACCGCGCAAGTCCCATCCCTCTGTCCGCGCACGCAATCGCAATCGGGAAGAAGCTCTTACCTCGCAACTCCTTCGCAGGATGCAAAATCAACCTTCAGAAATTCCGGGGGCGATTGGTCGATGGTGGGATCGCCGGAAAATTCAAAACTGCGATAAACGCGCGGACGATAGAGTCGCGGCGAGAAGAGAAGGAACATCGGCGAAAAATTTACAGTCGTTTGTAGGATTGAAAATCGAGCGACGACGTTCGCGAGAAGATCGTCGACGGACGGAAAACGGGAACGCAACCGTAAGTCAACGCGTGGCCATCGCCAGCGGCCGGCCTCAGGTGACTTCGGGCAGTGATTGCGGTTGCCGCAGTCGCGGCAGGACGTGGCCGCGAGGGTGGCAGGCGAGGGCGAGAAAGAAAGAGAGAGAGTGAGAGAGAGAAAGAGAAAGAGAGGCCGGCCACGACCGGTCACGCGAAGATTTTCAGCCCCTTTACGTCGCCCGCGAGGCTGGCTTGACCGCGAAATCGATACGCGCGACACGAAGTTCTTTACCTTAACCGACCGGTTTTCAAGGCGGCCAACGCGGCCGATTTTCCCCCGTCCGTGTCCAGCGTCGCGCCGGCGACGCGCGTGTCGACCGGTGACTATACAGCTTTAAAGCCGCGCTTGTAATTCGTCGTCACCTTAACCCTTAAACAAGAGCGAGCACTTTCGCTGATCAAAAGGAGGGCGATTGCTGCCGGATTATGAGCCTATTGATCACGAGTTTATTTTAGAATTAGAATTTTTTTCATCTGTGTTGGGCGAAGTTTCGAGAATTCTTCGAATGATAATGATATTTCTGGAGATGTAACGGGGAAATTTTCTGAATACATTTCTGTCTACATCGTTCGGCAAAAAGACTAATGCACAATTTTTAATTAGGATCTATATAATTAAATTATTCGAAAGAAAGAAAAATTCTTGCAGCTCACCATCGTAAACTTTATAACGAGCATAATCTGGTGAATACTAATGAACAGTAATAATAATGGTAAAATAAGTACATAGTAACGACGCTATTTAACTTCCATCGTCGATTTACAACGTAGAATATATTACTATGTGCTGAGAAAATTATGCTAAAACGGTGTAGTCCTCTTACGTTGCTGTAAATTGCATTCTACGTTCGTAAATGCATTTTATACACTGAATTATTTTAAATGTCTTGAACGAGTATTTTTTATATAGAAAAAGAATCCAACATTGACGAGACATTCATACAAATATCTAACTTTGATTACCGATATTTGGTGCATATATGTACATGCATAAGAATTTTTTTACAGTTTTGTGTTATTTTACATTCTTTCATTTTCAAGAAATAAAACCTGGAAAGTACGCTTATCATATGTAAACATACATAAAACTGGCATGTTCCTGCAACAAGAAAGGAAATTCCTCTAAAATCAATTCGTTCTAAAAATCCCGGTGGCATACTAAAGGCAAGCCAACGCGATTACACAACTGCATGACGACTCACGACACGCCAGACAAAACCATTAAAAGTTGTACGTGTCTGAAAGTTCCGTATCCATTTGCGCCGCTGATTAGAGAAAACGAGAGGTGGAGGCGAGAAGGGTGGCAGCAAATGCACGCGGCTGAAAGTTCGCGCAAAATGCGGCGTCGTTAAAGCGCAAATACCGCGATCTACAACGGCGTAGGTAATTTTGCCGTGTCGAACACTTTCCCGTTCGTAATTGCACTACTAATGAGAGCGGAAGATCTACATGGATCCAGAAAGACCCTGAAGCGCGCGCGGATTGTCTTGGGAATCAGAGCGTCTTCTGGGGACTTCCGGTGGATCTCTGAATACGCGTTACGCGACGCAACTCGCTCGTTGCTCAACGAGCGTTCTCCGTAATTTAATTATAATCTGCCAGATCGATCTCGCGCGCATTGCTGTAACAATGCGTGCATTGTGTCTGGAATAATGCGTGCTAATTCTCGCAACTTTTATTTTCCTGTTTATTCATTGTTGAATTTACTTAGCATTTTTTTATGTAGCTCTTAAGCGTAATTTAATTAACTCAGCGTAAACATTTTTGCGTTAAATGTGATTATATATACTTTTTAATAACGTGCATAACTTTCCGCTACAGAATTAAATATTAAATTAAATGCAAACGAAATCAATAATATATGTACCGAGAAAATGTGACAGGTATTGCGAAAATGATTTAAAGATGTAGTTTCAGTCGGATTGCATGCGAGCCGGCTCTTTCCGAAAGTCAAACTCGGACGCAACGAAATGCATGCCATACTTCAAATTCACGGCGGCGAAATTGTTTCGTGTCGCGCGAACGCCATTATCATTCGCACAAATTTTAATAACTGTCGTGGCAATAAAATTACAATTCCTCGCTTGTTGCCGTTCGTGCCGTGTCGCATAAATGTAACGGGAGCAATCTCTGAAATTTTTTTACGCACGTGAACGAAGTTCACGAAGGAGCGCGAAGGGCAAGAAGTGATTGACTCGTGATTACGGCACGCTCGACTGACCCTAATGTTGACGTGCGTTTCGGTAATGATTGCGGTATGTCAGTATCACCGTGGAAATCGTCTTTGTGAATCAAAAAGATATTGTTGAACGAAAAATTAATATATTTTCTTTTGTAAATTTAAGGAAAGAAATCCATTTGCCCATTTTATCAAAGAAACGGAAATTACAAATTCTATTACGGCTAAATGTACGCATTTAAACGCTAATAGGAAGATGACCAGCAAAATTAACAAAAGAACGGCTGAATTACAAAAGATCCAGTACTAATGGAATGTAATATGTTTCCTGGCAAGTTTTGAGCAGATTTTTCAACGTACTCGGAGATCCTTTTCATTGTTACTATAATTGTTCCTGTTAATAAATATGCGCTAAGAATCTCACGCGAGATAATTTTCTCGGGATTTTAGTAGATTTTATTCAACAAAGCCCTTTGTTCAAATATCAAAAAAGAACTGTAAGATTAAAATTAATGTAAAAATAATAGTACATGGAAATTGATACGCACAATTCTCCATAACGCAAAAGCGAATTTATTCGTAATCTGTTTGTTATCTTTTCGATTACATTCTCAAATTATTAATGCGGACGAATTACAATTTCATGTTTTTAATTGTCGCATGCAAATAAAAATGCATGCAGGTTTCATTTATTTATGGCTTGCGTTATGCTACCTAAGGATTAAAAATAGTTTTTTAATACCGACGTAAATTGATGCATGAAAGGAGCGATACGAGAAATATTCAAGGCACAAATTAAAATTGAAGTATTCAGTCCGATAATAAGGAAGCTCTTATCTTTGACACGAATTATTTCTATAAATTTTCTTGGCATCGTGTAAAAATTAGAAACTATTCTAATATCGATTAACATTGCAGATCCTTATATCTTTCTGACGCACGTTCCGACGTATTCTTGGTCACGAGGATGTAGGATGTAATTAATCTAATCTGGGCGAGTGATTAAAATATGCTATAAAGGAAAGAAGGTAAGGAGAGAACGTAGTATATAACTCTATGCAAATTGCATTGAAATTTGTTTCGCTCGATCTTTAATGACGCACTCTTGTATCTGACATTTTCGCGTTACGCGATACATACCGTGACGTTTTCCGCATGCTAACAACAAGCGGTTCAATTATGACAAATTGTGGGAAATGGGCCGCTAGTTTACATAAAAAACACAAGAATACTTTAATAAAGATGAAAAGAGGCACGCACGCGGCCACATGTACCGATATTGTATGGTTTATTTAAGGATCGAGTAACAGGATATACGGTTTATTTAATTAATTATACGAAAGAATTAAATTACATATTTAGAAAATTTAATTTTATCTTGTTGTAATATTGAAAAATATATTAACATGATTTTCTCGCAAAAAATCGACATAATTCACAATTCAGTAGAAAACCCGACGCTAGGTCAGACAAATCCTGTTAGATCATTTTAAGTATTCATTCCTTGTACATTAGTTTATGTAAGATAAATTGATATAGATTTTTAAATTAAAAAAAAAGTTTTTAGTTTTCTTACGACAAATAAATAAATGATTTTTACTTAAAAATTGCAGTCCTTCAAATATATAATAATTAATTGAATATATAATGCTGCAATAATTAATTTACTGTCATATTCTTCCCAAGTTTTTATAAATACCTTATATATT